ATTTTAGCACTGAGAGAGAAGAAAGAGAGTCGAGAAGCTTTACCTTCAATGTTTGCTTTCTAGTTAAACCATGATATAACTAATTGTTTATTGCTATATTTTTGTTAATATAAAAGCAAAAAATATGGGGAAAGCACTGTTACTTTGATAATACATAGGCGAAACTTTTATGAAGAATAGTTTTTTCTCATTTAGGCCTTTGTTTTTCGTCAAATGAGAGGTATATTTCTAAAAAAAGATTTTTTATACAAATTTGTGGACGGTTGAAACCGAGATATTGACGTTTAAATTTTTTTTCGACCATAAGGGCTAATGCAAATGATTTTTTTTAAATAATTATAAAAAACACTTCCTACAAAGATCTAATTGTGCATTAGAACAAAAAAATAAGCAATTTTTTTTTCTATATGGTGGTATCAATAACTCGATTTTTTATGATAGTGCCCTTTTGCACTGTCTAATTTTGTATTACCTCCGGAATAAGGGTAAGCTTATCATGTACTTTTATCCCTGAAAAATTCAGCTGGTGACACCGAAGTGGGAGGCCAAGTCAAAAAAATTTTAATTTATACCATATAAAAGCCCGTACCTGTGAGTTTAGAAGAATACATTTTTATTCGCAGAAGCGAAAATGGAGAACGTATATTTGTTACTTAGTTGCTAACTAGAGGCAGCACCTCTCGGATAACTTTATTTTGTCTCTCTCTGGGAGGACTTGTTCAGACTTCTCTGTTCCAATGCACGCCCTTAAAGGGAGCTCGTGAGATTCGTGCGGTGTGACGTCAGAAGGGACAGGATTGCTCTTAATTTTATTATCTTTTATTTAAATTTATTTTAGGCTATGTATGTAGAAAACGAAACTCAAACTGAAATTTTTAACATTACAATAATTTAAAATGCAATTTTGAATACAGTTTTATTAAACTAACTACACTTAAACATTTTAAAAAACGTACGAACTTAAAAAATATTTTTGATATTACAGATACTTCTCAAATTTATTAACTTTTTTCAAGAAATCTCTGTTGTTATAGAACTCTTGGCAAGTTTAAACGACATTGAATTTCGCCATAAAAATATTTTTAGGATTTCCACACTTGGCTCCAATTTTTCTGCAGTTTAATTTTATTGATACCTTTGAATAATCTTTCTGTTACTGCGTTGGTTCTAGGAAGACACAGACCAATTCAAGTTATGTTTTTTAAATTGTCAAAGGAAATATTATTACTTAATATAATCTTGTGAAAAGTGGATTAAAATTTCCACCCATTTCAATGATACTTCCAACTTTTTTTCGAAACATTCAATAATATTTTTAGTAGTAACATATTTTTTTTTACATAGGTCATTTCACTTAACAGTTTATCTTCGATTATGTCAAATTTCTGGTATGTTAATAGAAATGGTTTCATAAGTTTTTTGAACTTCACTCCAATGAATAATCGTAGAATCCATTTAAATTCCCCAACAACACGAAATAGTGCACTCCATTACTCCAAATATTAATTGTTTCCATAAAACAGCTTTACTTGTCAAGAAAACCATTGTTGGTCTGCATCTCCAGATTCCAACAAACTTCTTAAATATTTTCTTATACTAAGGGCAATGGGAGAGGAGTCGAATATCGATCAGCGGGCAATATCGATCACCTTATTTTTTCGGAACGCATCCGACCTTCAAAATAATAGAATAGCTCCAGCCATCACTCAAGGTTGATACAAATCACCCATAGCATATGCGGGCAGTTTCATCGTAACGTCGAGTTTGACTGGTAGTAAACAGATTTCGTGCGGTTTTTTTCTTATTTTTCAAGTTTATCGGATAAGGTATGTACTTGTTAAGGATAGATATTTCAAAGCTACTTTAGTGCTGATAATGACATGGTAATCAAAGGTATTTTATATCATAGAAACGGAATTTTTATCTTATTGATGTTGGGAGTTGTATGTGTCCAAACAATGTCATTCATAAGCGGGTAATCTCGATCGGCATGATCGATATTTCCCGCCAGTGATCGAAATTGGCCTCATTTATTTTTATTTTTTTGCAGATGCCAAAAAAATATGTTCGCCGAACAAATCGCTCTTCTTGGTCAGAGGAAGACTTGAAGAGGGCTATGAAGGCGGTTGAGCAGAAGACTCATTCCATTAGGAAATCAGCAAAATTAAATGGAATACCGTATGCTACGTTGTGCGATAGATTAAACAACAGATATCCTAGTAAGAAGATAAAATTAGGAAGGAAGCCTGTGTTAAATGAAGATCAAGAGACGGAACTGGCAAATCACATTTTGAAATTGTCAAACAGTTTTACGGGTTGACGCCAAGTACAATCAAACGGCTTGCTTTCGAATATGCTGTTGCAAATCACTTACGAAATAATTTTAATGCTGAGAAGAAAACCTGCGGTAAAGATTGGCTGCGTGGATTTTTAGACCGACACCCGAAAATTTCTTTAAGACGTCCTGAAGCCACAAGTATCAATCAGGTAATCGCATTCAATCGACATAATGTGAACCGCTTGTACGACAATTTAGAACTGGTCTTTGAAAAATATAAATTTCCTGCAAGACGTATTTATAACGTGGACGAGACTGGAATTAGTGGGGTACATAAACCCCCTCGAATTTTGGCGGAAAAGGGCAGAAAACAGGTGGGTGCGATTACAAGTGGAGAAAGAGGCCAGACTAAGACGGTTGTATATTGTATGAGTGCGGCAGGCGACTTTGTGCCCCCAATGTTTATTTTTAAACGCGAACGCATGAATAACAGTCTGGTAAAAAATGGTCCCACAGATGCTATCTACCGCTGCTTTAAATCAGGATGGATTACAGAAGAGTTATTTCTGGAATGGCTGAAACATTTCGCAAAATTTGTGAATGCCTCTAAGGAAAATGCTGTTCTAGTTGTTTTAGACAATCATTCCACTCACTCCTCTTTGAAATCGTACAAGTTCTGTCGTGAAAATGGGATCATTCTTGTTTCGCTTCCTCCACACACCTCTCATCGACTCCAGCCACTGGACGTCACATTTTTCAGTTCATAGAAGACAGCATATAGCAAAGAATGTGATCTCCATCTAAAATCCCATCATTAGAACAAAATTGACGTGACTGATATCGCAGAGCTTTTTGCTAAAGCATACAATCGTATCACTTCTAAAGAGAAAGGTATCAACGGATTTAAAAATACGGGAATTTTCCCATTAGACAGAAACGTATTCGGAGAAGAAGAGTTTACTGAACTAACAGAAGATGCAAATTCCATAGTTCAGGCAGAAGCCGGCGAACCTCCCGAAGACCCCAGCGAACCTCCGGAAGATATTTATTTTGATCCAAAACCTGGAACTAGTAGAGATTCAGACTTAGATATGCGTCATGTTACACCGCCTCTAGAAGCCTGCAACAAGGAGACGTCTGTTCAATCAAAGAGAAGGAGGTATCAAAGAAGAACTTCTTCCTCTAGCGATAGTGTTTCATCAGCGATAACAGAAGTATTCGACGAGAACGCAACTGATGATGAAGATAAAACTGTTAAATTACTTAGCACATCTTTTGAAGACTTTCATCCGACACCCCGGTTAACAGAAAAACCACAATCTAAGAGAAGGAGGAAACAAAAGTCTCAAATACTGACAGCCACCCCGCTGCAAGCATTTTTGGAAGAGAAGGAAGAAAAGAAAGAAAAAAGAATGTGGATGAGGCTACAAAAAAATTGTTTCAAAAAGAAAAATCGGAAAACAACAACATGGGGAGAACAACTTATGCCCAATATGCGCGAACCAGGGAAAGATGAACTGTGGTGGCGCTGTAGGGCATGTGGCACCTGGCTGTATGCTGCCTGCAGTAAAATATCGCGTCCAGAAGATTTGGATTCGTGCGTTGAATGCCAATATGTTATGATCGATATTACCCTTTATGTTGATCGATATTACCCGACCATAGGTGGTAATATCGATCAGGTAATAGTTTTTTTTTTCAAATTTTTAAAATGTTTCTTATCAAAATATACAGAAATTGTTTATGTCATTATGTTAAAAAATGAATAAAGTTTACGTTCCATGCAAAAAATACCTTATTTTTTTAAAAGTTTGACTTTTGTCTTGAATATTTTTTAAGTGATCGATATTCGACCTCTTTCCCCTATTCATTAAGTTTTTCTCTATAATGATATTAAGCCACTGATTTCCTGTGTCACCTCCGTTAAACATGGATATTTTTTCTTATCTACTTACTGTATCAAATGGGAGTACTTGTCATAAATAGGGGTCTCTGTCCCTCTTAATGGGGGTCCTATGGTTACTTTAAACATTATAGAACAGTTGGTTACAATTTTTAGTCACACTGAATATCTGATTATTCAGTATTATTGCTAAAAACCCAAAAAGTTTAAATATTTGTCAAGAGCCTTCTTAAAATCATTCATAATTTTGATTTGACCACAGATCATTAAATTTTGACTCCTGAAATTCGAAATCGAATTAGAGGATAAATAAATAAAGGATAGCACCATAATGTGCGATAAAGATGAACATATACCAGCTCTTCGAACCACCTGCGAAGGCCGGTTTTGTTTGGTTCATGTTCCATGCATGTTGCGAGCGGTTGCGGTTGCTATATGACGTCATAGTTTTTAAATCGACATCGAGTGGTTCCGATTTTGACAGCGACCGCGAGGGACCACTCTAAATCTAAAACGAAAACACCTCATATCTTTGGAATCGTTTGCATTGGGATATCAACTTTGGGATTCTCAGTGGATCAATTTGGATTATTATTAGGTTTCATAATGTCTTATTTTCGTAAATTTTTGTAATGTCTTCACTATTTTCAAATATTAACATGAACAACTACAAATAATAAAAATAACAATAAACATAACAGTTAAATTTAATCGTTTAGTAATATAGAATCTTTTTGTAGGATTTTTGCGAGCTATTAACACACCCCAAAACAACCAACGCTCATGCCGTCTCTGTGCCTAAAAATCAATAAGTAACCGGTAGCAAAGTTTTCCTTTAGCATGACTTCAGTAGCTACACGAGTAATAAAAGTGTGAAACGATTTTTACTGAAATGCTACCTCAATTGTGGAAAGGTTATACCTAGACAAAATATCAGTAACTAAGCTGACCAGAAATGCACATGTAAGTGTCCTGTCATATTGGTGTAGGTAATTCATTTTGATATATTTACTGTCCTAGTTGTAATACTAATATTTACATTCCATGTTCTGTAATTAACCCTGATTAATTGCCTGGAAAATTGAAGGTTGGGAAGTTAGTTGTCTTTTATCAAGGTTAAATAGTTTAGAAATGTTTATTAATACCGATATATAACTATTGATAATATCAAAATTACTTTTAATACAGCTCTTGTTGCCTAATATCAAATTTACTGATATTATTTAAAACATCATTTCTTGAATTTCTCTTTTTACACTGCAACTTCAAATCTTTTAGTTTTTAGAAGTTTTTAAAAGATTCAAATTTTGATCAGAATTGATTTGGTTTACAATTTATTTATTATACATTATTTTACATAGGTACCTATTCAAAATTAATATTCTTGATGTCTTTCGTAGTAATAGGTTAATGATCTTAGTGACTAGGCTTATGGTCAATTAAAAGGCTTACTGACATTATAACTATTTATTTTAATTTTAATTGAACAGTCTTGGCAACAGCTATCTCTATATTAAAGTAGAATTACTATTTTTTGACATGAATATTCAAAATCAATTCTTAGATGTAATACAATACCAGGGGATTAAAAACAAAGTAGATTGCCAAGTAAATACAAGTAATTGAAATGTTTTTTAAAGGGGGTTGATTTCAAAAAATATATTGAACTTTAATCGCCATGTGAAGTACTTAAGTGTGTCCCAAAAGCCAAAGGTAATATATTTGTTTGGATCGTATGAATCACATATTGCTTCACGTGAAACATTTTGATTTTTGATCAATGAATATTCACCCTCGCCATATAAATACATATGACTCGAAATGAATAAAAGTAATATTTGATTTTTTAATTAAATTTATTTCAAACTGAACACTATACACACAAAAATATAAATAAATGAAATGAAAACGAACAAATGCTAACTTCTACACTAGTAATGGCAAACAATTGTTGTTTTGTAATTATTTTCAACCGACTTCAAAAAATCTGATGTGTCCAACACATGACTTTCCTATCTAGTTGTTATAGGCTTTTTCGTGATATTTTGTACAACCTGTTGCAGCACCTCTATATATGTTTAGAGGATAAACTAAATATATACATTTTCCACATACATCTAACTCGAAACATTTTTCTATAGATATTCATTGAAAACGAAAATACTGATAAATTTTAATTTAGCACTTTTCCTTCAATTTTTACTTTCCTATCTGTATACAGATAAGGAAAGTATGAATCATGATTTTTTCGACCTCGAGTTTTCGACGGTTTTTTACGTTTTGGGGTCCCCTGAATCCGTTTTGACTATTTTCGCGATGATGTCTGTGTGTGTGTGTGTGTTGGCGTGCGTGCGTGCATGTGTGTGTGGCGTGCGTGCATGTGTGTGGGCGTGCGTGCGTGCGTGTGCGTGTGCGTGCGTGTGTGTGTGTGTGTGTGTGTGTGTGTGTGTGTGTGTGTCTGTGTTTGTGTGTGTATCCTCGATAGCTCATGAACGGATACAAAGAAAAACACCAAATATTTAAACTTAAGCTTTATTCCGACCTCCAGTGAACTGATTAGATTTTGGGCAGTGTCGGAACATCTGGGGGTACTTTATAGAGAGTCGTTTTTATATTTTATGAAATATATCTGTTATGTACGTTTGGAGAAGAAAATTCTTCAATTCAAAGTTACTTGTAATATTATTTTCTATAATTTTTGTTTAATGCAAAATTTTCCTAAAATGGCCCGTATTCGTGAAATTTTATAAAATGTAAACAATTCTGATTTTTAAGAAAATTGTTGAACTAAAAGATGTTTGCTATATCGATCTCTATAATTTTTGTCTGTTTTATATGATTTCTCTAAAATGGAGCGTAATGGAAGAATTGGAGGAAAATTATAAAATTTAAATTTTTAAGCATTTTCGTTGGCAATGAGTGTATATAGAAAAATGTTTTGAGTTAGATGTATGCGGAAAATGTATATATTAAGTTAACCTCTAAATATTTACAGAGGTGCTACAATAGGTTGTACAAAATAACCGAAAAAAGATTGTAAATAGATAGGAACGACATCAGATTTTTAAAATTACTTCGTAGAATTGAAAGCGAACCACGCGCTTGCGCATTGAAGTGTACAGGACTAAAACATTTAAACATAATTCGAAAATATTAAGGATTTAATTACACAATAGAACTAATAACCATAAAAATTCGTAATAGAATTTTGATTTTCTTTTTTATGGATTTTAAGAGATTTCTAAAAATAAGAAACAACTTGTTTGAAAATTTATTTAAAATTAAATAAAATCGTAAAAGCTATTTGAAATACCATTTCATATGAAATGAATACAACAATCCAAGGCCGTAATATATTTTTCCTATTTTTACTTTCCTATCTTTATACAGATATAAGGAATCATAATTTTTTTTGACCTCGAGTTTTCGACGGATTTTTACGTTTTGAGGTTCCCCTGAATCCGTTTTGACTATTTTCGCGATGGTATGTGTGTGTGTGTGTGTGTTTGTGGGTGCATGCGTGCATGCGTGCGTGCGTGCGTGCGTGCGTGCGTGCGTGCGTGCGTGCGTGCGTGCCTGCGTGCGTGCGTGCGTGCGTGCGTGCGTCTGTATCCACTGAACCGATACACAGAAAAACTCCAAATTTTAAACTTAAGCTTTATCCCAACGTCCAATGAACTGATTAGATTTTGGGCAGAATCGGAACATCTGGGGGGGGTACTTTATGGGTGGTCATTTTTATATTTTATGAAATATATCTGTTATTTACGTTTGGAGAAGAAAATTCTTTAAATAAAAGTTACTTTTAATATTATTATCTATAATTTTTGTTTTATACAAAATTTTCCTAAAATGGTCCGTATTCGAGAAATTTGACAAAATAAAAAAAAATATTTTTTTATAAAAACTGTTCAAATAAAAGTTGTTTGTAATATAATTTTTATTCTATACATTATTTATCTAAAATGAACCGTATTTGAGATATTTGAGAAAATGTGTAAATTTCGAATTTTGAAGGAAACTCAAAAACGGATAAAGAAAAAACATTAAATTTTAAACTTAAGTTTTATTTCGGCCTGACGTGAAATGATTAGATTTTGGACAAAGTCAGAACATTTGGGGGGGTACTTTATGGGAGGCCGTTTTTATATTTTATGGAATGTAATTTATGTTTGGAGAGGAAAATTGTTCAAATAAAAGTTACTTCTTATATTATTATCTATAATTTTTGTTTTTACATGATTTTTCTAAAATGGACCGTAATGGAAAAATTGGAGGAAGAGTGCTAAATTAAAATTTTTCAATGTTTTTGTTTTCAATGAATATCTATAGAAAAATGTTTCGACGTAGATGTATGTGGAAAATGTATATATTTAGTTTATCCTTTAAACATTTATAGAGGTGGTGCAATAGGTTGTAAAAAATAACCGGAAAAAGCCTATAATAACTAGATAAGAAAGTCATGTGTTGGACACATCAGATTTTTGACACATAAAGTGACATCTTTTGTAATCGCAGCTCAGATATCACAAATATGTCTTATGAACGTTCTAAAAACGTTCTGCTTGTACGTTCAGGACATCCTTACAACGTCCATTTCGTGGACGTGCACGTCTTATGGAATTTATTTGGAAGCAAATAACCTATGAATAATAAAATTATTAAAACTTTTTCATCAAATTCATCCCGTCTCTCCTCTACTTTGCCTTTTTCAACCATGCCTGGATTGACAGCAGTTCAGTTTGTTTCTTGAGTTGGCCATATTTGCCTTCTCAGCTGAACCTGAAAATAATTTAATCCCTTATTCAAAATGAAAGGCAGATCAATATGAAAATCCAATCTGTTTGTTTAAGTTTGCCTTGCTAGACATTATGAATTCACTAACCTTTTAGCTTTGTAGTATTCACTGGAAAACTTTCACCTTTCTTAGAGATAAAAATAGTACAATCTGCAAAAAATTAATATTAATCAACCACCAACTCACAGGGTCGAATCACAGTCAAATGGCGGAATGATAGAACTTGTACTCGTATAATATGTACATACCATCGAATTTTGAACACTGATTACCATATTTTTTCTTTTTTTTATAAAACCTGTGCCCTGAGAATATTTCAGTGCCTACATCTAAATAAATAATAAAAAATAATAAAATGTCACTTGTTAACAATGTCACTTTCTTGCAATGACCTTCTTCGTTTTTTGTCTATTTGGCCTTCATTCAATTAGATATTGGACCATTTTTAATAATTATTTATGTTGTTTATATATGTAACCAAATAATAATACAATGCAAATGTGAATTCATGGAAATATAATAAAGCACGTAGAATTGACATTCTTCGGATATCTATTTCTTGACGTCCCGAGGATTTACTAAACTGGACATACTTAAAACGTCCAGAATTGGCCCTATAAGTACAGACGATAAATGGACATGTAATGGACGTTGTTAGGACGTCCTGTGCTATCTGGCAGCAAGTGTCAGAACGATCTACTTTTTTTGGTTTTTAAATTAAAAAATTAACAAAGCTTTTGAAAGGTTATATTGAAGAAAGAAAGGTGTTGACAATATGTTAAAATAGATTTTGTCAGGAAACTTACGATTTGTAATTCTGGTTCCGTCGCTAATTTAAACAGTCTTGGTCAATTTTAAATTTGCACAAAATCATCAAAACACTGTTTTACACGACCGAATACACGACTTTATAGACTTTATAAAGAAAAAAACCAAAATTGTCAATATCCAAGTACTTATACAAAATAACACACTTTCTTGAAATCTAGTTCAAAAAGAAAATGAAAACTGTTTGTCCTAATCAGAATAAATAACTTGGTATTTATGTTCATCAAAAATTTCCTAAATACAGGATATAACATGATTTTATTGTAAAGAAACACGAACAAAAATGTCTTATGTAATTTAAGTTTAGCTACCCCAACAACACCTATGGACAACACAA